GAAACAACTTCCCTAGGCCACCACCACTCTGGAATATGGTGTTCTAGGGCTCTCTTCTCAAAGCAAAGTCTTTTACCTTTGCAATTCTGAGGCTGCAAAGGATGAAATCTTGCTGATTCTTGTGATGTTCTCAGGCCATCCTTTCTCTTTTCTTCTAAAATACTTGGCTTTTTCTTTCTAGTCTTTTCAGTGACCAATTTCTTTTCTGTTCCACCCTTGCAGGCTGCAACTTTACTGGAGCTTCCTTTCTGGCTAATTCAAAACATTTTAAATCACTCTGCTGGTCTCTTTGCTCTTGATTCTCAACATAGATCTGGCCAAAAGACCCCAACAGTAGCCATGCTACCACCTCAACATTAAGATGTCTTGAAACTTTTTCTGCACCAAATTTTGTCTTAGTTATTTTCTCATAGCTGAGACAAAATACCCAAACCCAAAGTTAAAGGAAGATGTGTTCATTTGGCTCACAGTTTGTAGAGTTTTCAGTCTATAATGGACTGGCTCTAAGGTCAGGTGAATGGCAGATAGGTATTGCAGAAGAGAAACAGTTTGTGGTGGGAAGAAGATAGTAAAGCAAGTGAGGAAGGTGCGCAGTTTCGTTCTGCCCGTTTTCTACTCTAGCTGGGCTACTGGGATTAGGACAGTGCCAAACCAATCTCTGGAATTTTTTAGTAATAACATACTCCCAGTCTTAATCCCAGCATCACATACTCAAGATCCAGCCACTTCTGAAAAAGCCCCACCTATAACCACATGAGTTTTTAGGGGTACATCTAGACACAAGCCATAATGTTTCTACCAGCTTTTTGGTCTTCTGAGCTCTGACCAGAATCTCTCAAGTTCAGATTACAGCATTCCAGGGCTGCTTCTTTGGCTGACATCTCTAAACCTTTCCAAACTATTCCCTTCAGGCAGTTCCAAAGGCTTCTGAACCACATGACCAGGTAACATGACAGTAATGACCTCACTTTTCTCATACCAAAATTGGTCTTATTTTTCTCCCTGTTGAGACAAAATACCTGACACAAGTTAAAGGAGAGAAGGTTTATTTGGCTCATAACTTGTAGTTTTCATTCCATAGCCACCTGGCTCTAAAGGACAGTGACACAGCAGGGGTGCATCACAGAGGAAAAACAGTCCATGGCATTGCAGGTAGATGGCAGCATGCAACAAGTAGTCAAACTAAGCCTACCTTCCTCTGTCCCTTCATAGTCCATCCGGACTACAAGCCTATTGATTGATGCCACCCACACTCGGGCTGGGGTTTCTACTTTCCACATCCTTAATTCTTATTCACACACCCTAAATCCAACCACATATGAAAGGCCCCACCTCTGACCACATGAGGCTTTGGGGTGCACCTAAATATAAACCATGACACACAGGGAATAGAATTTTATTGCATCATAGTTCTGGATATTGGGAAGTCCACCATGTATTGGAAAAGGTCATATTTATGAGTCATTGTATGGCTAAGATGGATACAAAAAGAGTTCAAGTAAGCAAACCTACTCCCACAGGCCCTGTTTATAATGGCATTAACATATACCCCTAAGTGTTTTCCATTAGTCCCCACCACCCAATACTACTGCAATAGGGGTTAAATTGCCAACATACAAATTCTAGGAGACATATTCATAGCATAGCAATTCCGAGGAGAAGTTCCTGTTGACAAGTCAAGATAAACTTCATCCTAATGTTATTTGGCATCTTTTAGGATCAAAGAGCACAGTTGGCCAGTACTACCTTATTTAAACCTTTGCTCCTTTTGGCTTCTAAAATAACACTCTCTTGTGATTGTTCAGCAGCTTCTTCTCTGCCAACCTTCAAATGTTGTTACACCCATTCTTTCCCATCCATTTCTCCCTCTTTCTAACCACACTCTCTGTATTTGTGGTTCAATGCACTTAACACCATTTTACAGGATAATGATTCCCAAGTTTAATCTTCAGCCTCTTCCTGAGCCTTGCGCTTTTCTGATTAATTACCTCCTCACATATTCACTTACATGTCTTATGGTCCTTTCAAAGTTAAAACAGGGGCAGGTGGTATAGTACATTGGTAGAGTCCTTGCCTCACATATACAAAGCTCTAAGTTGGATCCATAGCAAAGAAAAAGGACATCAAAACATCCAAAACAATATTCTTGATTCCTGGCCCTAACATGAAGAAATTATTAGCACAATCCACAAAGGAGTCAAGAGGCATGCTTGGTTTCTCTTTATTCCTCATTACCATCCCCCACCACATTTCCAAGCTAATATTAAAGTACATTTGGCTCTAGTCCCACTTCATATTTAATTTTTTCCTTTCTTTTTATCGCTATTGATATTGCCCCAGTCCAGGGCACTATCAATTTTCATATATTGCAATAGTGTCTTCCCTTGAGCTTCCAAGAAATAGACCTGGAGATGAGGAAAATGCATGTGAGAGTGACTTAATATGAAGTATAACTAGGCGTGTGGGAAAATGTGACTGGGAAATTAAAAAAACTAAGAAGATGTACAATAGAAAACAAAACCCTGTAGAAACCAGCTTGGGCTCCATGTCCCACGAGCCTCTGACCACAGTCAGCTACATTTCAGAATTTTTGATTAAGAAACAGGAATCTGCAACTATAATTATGTGCCACCCCAGTGGGTGTAAGTTCCAGGGCACATCCCAACTGATTAAAAAAATGGTACAGCACTCTGAAGTTCATCTTCTGACAACTGAATTCAAGTAAGAGCTGGCTATGTTTAGGCAAACAACGGCACACACAGGAAGGTAATGTCACCCAGAGGTAGGTGTTTTAGTCTATTCAAGCTGTGTTATAGTAAAATCAGTTAGAATGACTCACATAAATCACAGAAATTTACCATTCACAGTTCTAGAAAGTGGGAAGTCTGTGATCAAGGTGCAGATTCAGTGCCTAAATGGGGAATGGTGTGGGCCCATTCCTCATAGATGGCACCTTGTACGTGCCGTCATATGGTGGAAGGGGCAAGACAGAACTCTGAAGCCTCTTTCACAGGGTATTAATCCCATTCATAAAGGCAGAGCACTCCTGATCTAATCAACCTCCAAAAGCTCTACCTTCTAACCATACTGTGACCTTGTCAATCAGATTTCAGCACATTATTTCACTGGAGAAACATATTCAGATCAAAGTACCAGGTGAGCGATAGCTCCTGCTACAGGATCCTAATCTGTTTTCTGTGTTTTCACATTTATTCATTGTATTCATTTCCCATGCTTGCTGTAAAAAAAAAAAAAAAAAAAAAAAAAAAAAAGTGCCCCAAACTGGACTGCTTAACTACACAAATTTATGTTTTAACAGTTATGGAGGCTAAAATCCAAGGTTAAGGTGTCAACGTGGAGGGCTCCTTCTCTGGGCTCAAAGAGGAATCTCATCCATGCCTCTCTCCTAGTTTCTTGTGATTGCCTGGAGACCTCTGGGGTTCCCTGGTTTGTTGAAGTATCACTGTAACCTCTGTCTGTATATTTACATGGTGTTCTCCCTGTGTGCATTTCTGTGTCTGGATTCAAAATGTCCTGTTTGGGGAGGGACACAGTCGTATTTTATTAGGACCCTGTAAAGGGTTCAAGGGATTTGAGGACTTACCAAAGAGAAAGAGATGACCATGAGGCAGTAAGCATTATTGGGGGGCATCTGGACAGGGCCATGAAACCTCACAGCATGATCCCCTGAGGGGCTTATGGTGGAGAGAGGAGCACCATTCAGAAGAGAAGAAGGGTCAGGGAAGCACTTTACACATGGAGGTGATGTTGCTCAGCATGACAGGATGGAGAGTCTGGATCACAGACCTCTGAGGCCCTCTGAAGCTTGGAGTCAACCCTACAACCGTCTTTTATCAGTAGCCAGAATATCCTGAGTGAACTTTTTTTTCATTCTAAGTGGCTAATTTCTGCTTATTTGAGCAATTTTTCAAAATAGATTTGTAAAAATGTAAGTTAGGGCAAGCATGTAAGGTCACAGATCTTCATCTACAGGGAAGAATTAACTGAGAGGCAAATACACAGAAGGCTGCTGCCTGGGGATTGCCTGTGTGACAACCCCACCCTAACAGTCCCATGTTGGTTTCACCATTTGCAAAGATATTATTTCCAAACAAATTCACAATGATAGATACTGGAAGTTACACTTTCAACATCTTTTTAGGAGAAAACAAATTAACCCATAACATACCCCAAATACATCCTTTCCAAAGTAGTAGTGGTGATCTTTTTAAAATGATCAGTCAAATCAGACTGAATGTCCCAGTTCTCAGCCACTCCTCCTTCCTAACAAGAGTAATTTTGTCCTTAAGATAGATCTCCATGATTTAAGAACAATAACCTGCTATTAAATAAAGGAAAATAGTGCCAGGGATGGTGGTGCACAACTGTAATCTCAGCACTTAGAAGGCTGAGGTAGGAGGATCGCTGTGAGTTCAAGGGCAGCCTGTGCTACATCATGAGTTCAAGACCAGCCTGAAGTACATAGTGAAGCCCTTCCTCAAATTTTTTTTTTTAATTCTAGAAATTAAAAAATAAATAAAGGGCTGGGGATATAGCTCAGCAGTAGCCTCTTGCCAAGTGCCTGCCTGGCAAGTGCGAGGTCCTGAGTTCGATTCCCAGTATAAAAAAAGAAAAAAAACCCAAAATATAAATAAAAATTCCAGTCAAAATAAATGCTAGGCAAGATAGTAAAATTAATATGTTACATCTATTAGGCAAATGAAAGCATTCTTAGCCATCACACTAGAATGGAGAAGGGGGATTTCCTTAATTTTTATTGTCACTTGTGCTGTTATACATAATTGTATACTAGTTATATGTGACTATTATATGTAAAAATGTATGTGTACATACACATATATAATATCTATTATGCAGTTATATAAACATAAAAAAGTAAACTTGAATTATTTTCCCAAGACCAGGTTATATTGACATCAATAATTTTAATTCCTAGATATAAATAAAATGAATTCCAGTTTTGGTTTGTTCTTTTGCAGCCAGGAAATGAGGTCTATCCTAGAGATAAGAATGGGAAATGGGCATACTGCAGAGCAGATCTGTGTGCCACTTGGGAGGTAAGTTCATGTGGGCATCTTCCTCTAAGAGGCTACGTTTTAAAGTTGTGATGATTATTTCTCTCAGATTTACGGAAAGCTGCCCTCTTTACACCCAGTGTAAAATAGCAGTTCTGTAGGCATGTCTAACCATAAATACAGATATAGGAGATTTCCACTGCCTGGTGCTGAATACATGGTTTTGTTTTGTTCAAGAGAAAAATGCTAAGGAAAGGTAAAAGGAAGGTGTGGAAAGGGAAAAAAAAGTAAACAAATAGGTCCTAACTTAATAGCAAGTAGAAATATATAAATGAGATAAACCCACACACTTAGAATTTGAGCTTTAAAAATCAATAAAAATAAATGAGAAACTCACAAATTAAAAAAATTGATCAAACAATCAATAATATAATGTCCAAAAGAGATAGAGTGAAAACAAAATGATACGTGAAAAACTGAAAACGAATTCTGGACCAGCTGCTGGCTCCTTCCTCGAGACGACGAGAGTGGAAATTGTAGGGAAGTAAAACTGTCATGGGTTCAGGGAGAGGAGAGATTTTGAACTGGTTTATTTACAAGGTGGTATGGAGCTATGACCTAGAACAGAAGACAACCCAAATGCAGTAAGAAGATAACACATAGGAGAGGAACTCTTGGGGTTCCTTTTGTACTTTTCTTCTCTCCTGTGGTATCCTCACCTGCAGAAGCTTATAACTTGTGCTCAAGTGTCTTCAGAAATCCTAAACTTACAAGAAGCTGAGAAAAGCATGCTACTTGCTGCCTGCTGACAACTATTTTCCCCTCTCTAACATTCCAAATTCTAAAGATTGGGAAATTGCACTTTGATGAGTGTGTCTTCCTATTTCCTCCTGGAGCTAACAAATGAAGATCTGATCCTATGGGGTTATGTGGAAGGCTAAGGAGGAAATGGCCAGGTTTTCTGGGCCCTGGGGCTCTCTATTCAAAAGATCAAACGCTCACTCTTGACCTCATTGTTGCTGATGAAGCTCGGAAGATGGCATCCTCCTCTACAGAACTGACTGAGAGAGTGACCCGGAAGAAAATGAGTTTCAGCTCAAACTGATGTGGCATTTTTTCACAAGAAGACAACATATCTCTGTGACACTCCACCAGAATCATAACAGAGTCAAGAACTTTTAAATTAGCAAATTAGTACATTAAAGGATATAAGACATGGTAAGCAACATGAAAAAAGAACAAGAAAATATTTTATATGGCAAAAATAATAATTGGAAAAATAAAAAACATAATGCAATAGCTTGGGATGAGTAGAATGGATACAGATTTAAAAATTCAGTTAAGGGACCCGAGCATACCAATGTTTATAACAGCACAATTCCTAACAGCTAAACCTTGGAAGCAGCTCATATACCTATCAACAAGTGACTGGGTAAGGAAAATGTATCTATACATAATATAATACTATTTGGCTATAAAAAAAAGGACCAATTTCAGACATTTGTAGGAAAATGGGTGCACCTGCAAAACATAATGTTGAATGAAGTAAACAAGACACACAAGCTTAAATACTGTATGTTATCTGTTTGAATGAGGCAAAGTACAGAGAGAATAATAAAGAGTGGATAGAAGGAAAAAGGGAAAGGGGCTGGGGCTATAGCTCAGCGACACAAGCACCTGCCTGGCAAGCACGAGGTCCCGAGTTTGATCCCCGGTACCAAAAAAAACCACAAAAAACCAAGTAAATTTTACAGAAGGAGAATTTTACAGAAGGAGAAAGGGAATGGATCTCTTGCACCTGGAAAGGGGCCCAAGAGATCAAGGATGAGAGGAGAGGAGAAGGGGAATAAGTAGAATAGAGATCTGCCACATACAGGAACCCAATTACATGCTACGCACGTAAACATTATATGCCGTAAGCAAGAGCCTAAAGAAGAAATGTTAAAGCTTTCAAAGTAGAGCAAAGAAGCCAATAAAGGAACCAAAATATAGTTTTAAAAAAGTAATCAAAGAGAAGGAAAAAAAGAGGAAAAATAAAGATGGAAAATAAGTAGCAAGATGAAAAAAATATATTAACCATAGAATGTGTAGATAGTCTAAGCACTTCAAAAGACAGGGGTGGTAAGAATGAATACAATTCCTCCGTATTTTACATGCAAGGAACTAATTTTAAAAAAAAAGTTAAAAGGAAAATATTTATTTTAAAAATAAAAGGATAGTAAAAGATAGACTAGGCTAGCACTAATCAAAAGAAAGCTAGAGCAGATATTTAAAATCAAGAAAGACTTCAAAGCAGAGTTTACCAGGTCTATGGAAGGTTATTTTATAATGATAAAAAGGTCAGTCCTAAGCACTATAAATCCAATAATAGAACTTCAAAGTAAAGAAGCATAAATTAAGAGAACTGAAGGGAGAACAAATAATTCATACTTCAGGAGATTTAAAGACATTTCTATCAATAATTGAAATAGTAAATACAGAGAAAATCTATAGAATATAGTAGTATTTCACATTATCAACTTTTTGTCATAACAGACATTTATAGAAGAATCTACCAAAATACAACAAAGTACTACTTTTCAAGTACACAGGGAACATTTAACAAGGTGGGCCACTTTCTAAGACGAAGAAAATCTCATTAAATTTTAAGAGTCTTATTATGCAAATACATTCTCTTATCAAACTAAATGAAATTTAAAACAAGGTGATGTCTGAAAAAATACTAAAAATTTGGAATGTTGGAAGCACACATGTAAATAACCAATAAAGCAAAATGGAAGTAAAATCTACTATATATAATCCATATGCTAGGAATTCATAATCAGAAACTGAATTTTTAAAAAATAAAAATCAATTCAACCAAGCCAGTGAAAGACCTTTACAATGAAAATTACAGAATACTAAAGAAAGAAGTTAATAAAGACACTATTGTGTCTTCATGAAGACACTAGAATATTCAACACAATCCTAGTCAAAAATTCCAATAGAAATTGAAAGCTTTATTCTAAACCTTACATGGGACTACAAATAATCTATAATGACCAAAACAACTTAGAAACAAGAGGGATGAATTTGGAGGACATACACTAACTAATTTGAGGGGCTGGGGATTTAGCTCAGCCGCACAGCGCCTGCCTGGCAAGCGCAAAGTAGTAAGTTCGATTCCCAGTACTGGAAAAAAAACAAAAAAAACTAAATAAATAAAATAAATAAACTAACTAATTTTGAGAGCTGTATACAACTACAGTAATCATGACAGTTCCATATTAGCGTAAGGAGGGACTTTTGGATCAGCAGAACAGCACAGAGTGCTAAAATAGAACCATAGTTATACTTGGCCAAGTGATTCAAAGACAAGGTCCAGGGCAGTTCAAAGCAGAGTGGTCACCTTTTCAATATTGTATTAAACTGACTCATATCAGTTTGTGAAAAGCCATTGTGTAGATCACCTCCTCACAACTTAACCAGTACTGTCATGTTATCAGCCTCATTGCACTCTGGTATGAATAGCTACACAAAGAAACTGACAAACACTACAGTGGGAGCTTCTCCCTAAACCCCCAGTAGCTTGGTGTTAAACATTTATCACCTTCCCATTTGAGATGTTTACACTTTTGGTGGTGGTAATGATTTTATTGGTATATATATAAGTTGGAATTCATCAAAATGAACACTTCAAATACATGTAGTTTTATGCACACCAATTATAACTTGATGAATACATTTTTGAAATAGAGTTAGTCACGCAATTAAATTAGTTGAGTTTGGTTTTTATGTATTTTGTTTTATTAGCAGCAAACACTGGATGTAAAAACATGATGGAATAGTATTTTCAAAGTGTTGATGAATAAACCTCATTGACCTTATATTTTGCATCCAGCCAAACTGTAAGGCAAAAAAAAATAGTGCATTGATAAAATCACTTCATGTTTATATATGCTCAGAAATTTCACCACCTAGAGACCCACACTGAAAAAACACTTGGAAGAAAACTCTAAGAGTGCTCTAATAAATGTATAAAGTAAAAAGTGACCAAATTAAACTTAATAAAGAATTTAATATCTATAAAAAAGTTTAAGATCAATAATGAAGAAAATGTACTTCTAATAAGCTATAATTAAAGTCTACGTATACTATTAACATCACAGATGTAAGAGGTAGAATGAAGAATGTGTGGACATGCTGTTCTTGTCTTGGTTAAGAGGAAAGTATGCACACACATACATATACACATATAATTTATATTGTTTAAAGTAAGAAAGAGTTAAAAGGAACCCAAAAAATTGAGATAAACTGAAATAAGAAATTAAGATGGCAGGAACAGTCACACATACTTATAGTTGCAATAAATATAAATTCTCCTGCTAAAAGGCCCATATTGATAAAATTAACATGAGGCATTGAAATATACAGATGTGAAAAAATTAAAACTTAAAGAATGAGGGGAATATTATCAGTCAAATACTTATCAGAGAAATTTGATATAATCATGTTAACATCAGATAATAGATTTAAATATCAAAAGCACTTTAGGGATAAAAACTCCATTAAAGATATTTACAGTGCTCAAAGGGAAGGAACAACTGGAATGAGGGAAAAGAGAAAAAGAAAGAAGGGAAAAAAATATGTGTAATACACACACACACACACACACACACACACACACACACAGGATAGCTCAGAGAGTTGTACTACTGACTTCTATTGCTTTACTTAAAGGAACATTTAATGCTTGTTTGATCAATCTTACATGCCTATATTTATTTAACTGAATAACCAATTTGAAGATAACAATATGCAATATAACAACCATTGTTAATTTCCTATCACCTTGTCTGAAATTGCATATTACTTCTATTGTTGGGTGTTGTTTTGTTTATGCCTGTTTGTTGGTTAATATGTTTTCATTCTTTTATCTTTAAAATAAAAACGAAGAAGAAAAAAAATAAATTCACCAAAGCCTTAGTAGATGTATTCTACGACTTTGCAATATAGATGACTTAAACATATTTCATTTGAATTAAATTTGAATTAAAGATACTGTATTTTTGTAATGTAAAGATACTTTATTTCTAGTAAAAAAGATATTTTTACTAAAAATTTTAAATATATATGTCCCAAATAACAACCTTTAAAATATACATAACAAAAAACCAAACTATATAAAATGAAATCAAAATATATAAAGCAAAAAGTATGGAATACAGGAAGACATTAACAAATAGAGGAAGAATACAGGGAGACATTAGCTAATGTGCTATCAAAGCAGGAGCTTTCTGACACAGTCCTTTAAGTTACTGAGAAACCAAGCTCATTCTAATTTTATATATATAATGTGAGTTTTCCATCCAAAAAATATACATTTGTCAAACTCAGCAAAACATTTATAAAAATTGATCAGGTATTATGCCATAAAGAAATTCTTAACAAATTTTAAGACATACATCATAAATAACATGCTAGTATACATTCTAAAAATATAAGCAGTGGTGCATGCCTGTAACGCCAGCATTGGGAAGCCTGAAGCAGGAGGATCACTGCATATTCTAGGCCAGCCTGGGATACATAGTGAGTTCAAGATTACTCTGAACTACACTGTTAGACTCTGTCAATAATAATAATAATAATAATAATAATAATAATAATAAAAATACATGAGGAAAATGTGGTTACAATATTTTTAAAAATCATTCAGTCATAAAGTCTTTCCTTTTCCCATCCTCTCTTGTTTTGTCACAGAATGGTTACTAACATACCCAGACTCTTCTTTTTAAAGAATTCACAATTGTAAAGATATTCCTTGCTCATAGATCAAAAGAACCAAAATGGTGAAAATGACCATACTCCCAAAACTGCTATATAGATTCAATGCAATCTCAACCAAAATGCCATTAGTATACCTCACAGATATAGAGAAAATATTCCTAACATTCATCTGGAACCAGAAGAAACCTAGAATAGCAAAAGCAATCCTGGGCAACAAAGTAAAGGCAAGAAGCATCACAATCTTTGACCTGAAATTATATTACAAAGCTACTGTGATAAAAATCAGCATGGAACTGGAAAGAAAACAGATCAACTAGATAGATCAGAAGATGCAGATACAACTCCAAACACACTTAGCCACCTTGTCTTTGACAAAGGGACCAAACATGTTCACTGGAAAAAAGATAACTTCATTAATAAATGGTGCTGGAAAAACCGGCTCTACATATGCTGAAGACTAAAACTAGACAGATGTGTGCCACCATGCACTAAATTAAAGTCAAAATGGATCAAAGATCTAAATATTAAAACAGAAACAGTAAATGTACTGGAAGAGAAAGTAGGTAGAAATCTTGAAGACATAGGGGTAGGCAGAGAAGTTATGAACAAAAACCAAACTACACAGGAACTACTTCAAAGAATCAACTGAGACTTATTGAAAAATTTTTGCACATTTAAAGACAACCAACAAAGTAAAAAGAAAACCCACAAATTGGAAAAACTTTTAGCCAACTGTCCCTCAGACAAAAGATTTCTATTCAGAACATATAATGATTTTTTAAAAATTAGACCACCAAAATTCAAGATCTCAGTCCAAAAATGGGCATCTGAGGTGAATACACACTTCGTAGATGAAAAATATGAATGGCAATTAAATATATGAAAAAATGTTCAACATCTTTGTTCATTTGAAAAATGCAAATCAAAGCAACACTGAGATTCCATCTCACCCCAGAAAGAATGGCCATCTTCAAGAAATCAACCAATAACAAATGCTGTCGGGGCTTTGGGAAAAAAGGAAACCTTCTACACTGTTGGTGGATGTGTAGACTGGTACAACCACTGTGGAAATCAGTGTAAAGATTCTTCAAAAAACTAGGATTAGACATCCCATTTGACTCAGCTCTTCCCCTTCTGTGTATTTTCCCAGAAGAATTAAAAACATACCACAGCAATATATGTGCACCCATGTTTATAACAGCACAATTTGTCATAATTAAATCTTGGAAACAACCCAAATGCCCATCAACTGAGGAACGGATAAAAAGATGTGATATTTTTATACAATGGAGTATTACTCAGATATTAAAAAACATAATCTCGAGGCTTTTGTAGGTAAATGAATGCAACTAGAGATCATACTCATGTGAAATAAATCAGACTCACATGTGTAAATATCATATTGTCTCCCTAGTGTAAGAAACTGGAAGAGGAAAGAAAACCCAAAAGTACAATAGATGCTATGAAAGGGAAAGAAACTGCTCAAAAGGAAAGAAGAACTGGGATGAGGGAAAGGAGAAAAGGAAGAAAGGAGGAAGGGGAAAACTAT